ATAGCTTTTGGGGAAGAGGGAAACAGGAAACTCGTAAGTCAGTACAAACGCTACACTATGATTTAATTCCATAAAATTTGGTCAACATGACAGGCTGCCCATTAGCTAGACATGACGTGCAAGATAAAGATATCCCTCATGGCAAAGCAAGCCTAGATATTCCTTAAAATCACACCTACTACTCTAAGAGTAATATGAAGAAAATGTATTGAAATTATTTTAGGTGCTACTTCAAGATATTCTTTGATACGCATTTTGCCACATTATTCTGTTGAATAATGTTGCTACAAGTAGTGTAGGCAATGTATTGGTTATACCAGTATAACCAGTTCTGCAACAAGGTTTTGCTTCAAAAGGTTGAAACCGCTTCCCCATCTCAGAGAATCAGGAGCCTGAGCCTGGACAAAATTCCAAGTTTAAAAATTTAGACATAAAAAGTACAAAACGAAACTGATAACTGATATAAATACTGATAAATATACTGATATAAATAATGATGTAACTGATATAAATGCTGATTTAACTCGGAGTGCTTAGTGACCCACTTGTGAATCAGACTGGAAGCTGCCTGCACCTGTCCGCAATCCGCTCCTCCAGCAGGCGGAACGGAAAGCCGGAGTTAACCGCAGGAAAATGTCTCTAACACATCATTAGCCTTTAACATTAACACCGAGTGCAAATGCTTAAATAAAAAAATCGACCAAGCCGCACAATTAAGCAGAGAAACATTAAAAGAAATGGTGATTCTTTTTCCTTATTTTATTGGGTAAATGATGTAAAAGGTAATAACAATAGTGTTAAAACTACTACAATATCTTTCCACAGCCATATCTCACATACCCACAGATAACCTGCTATATTTTTTTTTCTTTTTCCTCATTTTTCTCTTTTTAAGCCGTACTTATATTAAAATGCCCATTTCAACAGTTTCTTCACACTAATAGCAATTAAATGTGGAAGGAAGGAGGAGCTAGTTATAAAGGAAGGGGGTTCAGGTAATCTGTGATATTATTGTAATCAATCAAGTTACTAAGGAAGGAAGGAAAAGACAGAGGCCTTCCAAGCTACTCCAGGTAGCTCTAAGCCCATTGTGTGTCACCACTGCATTAAAGATAACTCAAAATGCTGGTGAACAATTTAATTTTTTTTTTTTTGTAACATATAAAACACTAAAATAACTTAGAAACTAGATCCAAATATCTTGAAAAGAATCAACTTTGATATACAAAAACAGTCATAAGTTGTTACAAAAGTTCCAAACAAAAGTTTGTTTTCTCAGTGCGTTTATGTACCAGCGCAATTACTGGGTCCAGAGCAAAGAAAGAGGTTTTTCTTTTTTATTTTTTCTTTAACAGTAATAAAAAACGAGGAAAACATATCTTTGTATATAAAGAATCATTGCTGGTCTTAAGAATAAATGTAACCAGAAACCCTTAAATCTGAGAGGCACACTTTGGGTTTCTCTCTTTTTTTTTTTAACTTTTTTTTTTTAACCATAAAAGGAAAGTCACCAGTTTATTTAAATGGAGGAGATATTCAGACTCCTCAAATAAACTTAATTCAATTAACATCACTAGCAAAAATCAGTTAGAAACTGTACAAAAATAAAAAAGTTAACACATTTAATCCTGCAGGGATTTTGTAAGGACTGGAAGGCAGGCTTTAGGAGCAGCATTTGGGCATGGCTGGAGGCTTCTTTGGTTCGATCTAACACACATAAGAGATGTAACCTACTCCAGACAACAATTTTAAAAACCCGCACATTTGAAGACAAGTAGAGGTCCGTATACAAACGCCACGGTGTGCAAATGGGTTTGACTGCCTTGGTTTAATAGTGTATCTGAGGTCAGAACTCTAGTGTGCCCTCCCCTGCTGTCAGCAGCGTGGGGGTGAGATGGTGAAAAGTCAGTGCTACAGCAGTCGAGGCAGAAGGAAGGCCACGTGGAGCATGACTGAGTAAGAGTTTCATCTCAAGTCTATGGTTTTGTTGTCTAACTCAGTTTACAGAACAGGGTTTTGAGCAAAAGAATTAAAAAATCCCCCAACAATCTCTTTAATGGAATAAGGCAAACTGAGTAGTGCTCATAAAAAATTAGCATTCCAACTTAAAAAACAGTGAAATAAGCTACTTGGTTGTACCTTGACTTCTTATAAAGTATCCCAAATTAAAAAAAAATCTGTATCTAAACCCAGAAATATCTCTAAAAGGGTACTAAACATAACTAGGAGGGAATGACATTTGTGAAAGCAGTTGTTGATCAGCTTTAAGCAAACAGACCTGTTCTGTCCCAGTGCATGTCACAGTGAACTGCACGTTTTGCACAAATAAACCCACGGTTACACAGAAACAATCCATAGCGTTTTCAGCACTTGCGTGCTGAGGAGGTAGGTGCCCTAGAAACACTGCAGATAGACTGATTATTCCAATCTTTCAAAAAAATATCATACAATCTGACTGACCACAGACTCTGTAACAGTTTTTTAATTAGTGATACAAAACTCTGGTCCAGAAGGGTCTGGCATTAACTCATTTCAAAAGCACACCTTTACAGTTTGTATAACACCCTTTTAACTATATTTTTAAGCAACAGCTACTAAGAGATAGACAGAAATGCATTGTGCATTATGCTGTATACAAAAAGGAGACAAAACTATCCTTTTCCCCCCCAAGCCATGGTGGGAAGTATTGCTGACCTTGTCCTTAAAAACCTGCAGGATTGTTTATTCATCAGTATATCATTATTACACTGGTAAGAAATTCTGTATAACATCTGCATATATCGAAGATTTTTTAAAAAATCTGATATGATTTTAGATCCGCATGACCAGTCACGTGACCTGCTTGAGGTTGATTAGCACCTTTCAATACATATATATTTTTATATATAATAGATCTTTTTAAAAAACTTCTAACAATGAGCTCACACAGCAGCATGAGCATGCTGTAACGAGATGACAGATAAAGATGGGGTTGGATGACTTTTTTTTTTTTTTTTTTTTGCAGCAGAATGATTCAGTTTGTGCTCAGTTTCCCTATAAGGGCAAGAAAAAAAACCAACACAACTCTATCAGGTAGCCATTTGTTCACAATTTCCACTTGAAGACTAATCCATTTAAAAGTGTTCCCCAAGTAGAAATAAGACAACAGTATCATCCAAAATAGCCTCTGTATAAACATCTATTAATTTTTGCAGCTTCTGGCTGGCATCTCTTGGCTCCTGAAATTTCAGGCCCTCTGCTTATAAATTAAGGCATCGCAACTGAAAATGTTAGTATTTGGACATCAAATGCTGTGGATGAAGGAATACCAAAGACCTTCTACAAGAACCTCCGTAGAAATGAAGTGGCAAAGCTAACCTCACTGAAGGGATGAGCATAATTTATCCGTACCTGGTTTTGAAACCTTATTGAAACATTTTTACAACTGAATTTGAATTTATCTATTTGAATTTTGTAGATATATATTTACAAACATTCATTATTCGAAATAACTGGAATTTCTGCTTGCTGTGGTTTACTCACTCATATTAGGAAGGTCTTTTCTATAACAGACGGCGTATATCGTCCCCTGGAATATGCACTGAACTACAGCGGGTGTTACTGGGAGTTCTCCAGGCACATGAGCAAGGAGCTCGCTCCTACCATGTACACCACACACGTCTTCTACTAAATCCTATTTTTACCACCGGAAAAAATTTCCAATCGGTTTTCTTTCTTCCACCATGTGGAGGGGTATTAGAATTATTACACAGTACTTAACAGCTCTCAAGTACTATTCTGTCATAGATGAAAACATGTAAAATTATGGCATACATGTCCTGTGCTCTTTCACAACAATCTTTTTTTCTTTTTTGAACAATAGGTAACTTTATCTAACTATTCATGACTTGATAAAACTCAACAAATTCAAAAGCAGAAGAAAGAACAAACCACAGATTCTTCTTTTCCAAAATAGGTTTGCTATTAAAAAAAAAAAAAATCTCACGTTAAAAAAATCCCCAAAAACCTGATGCCAGAGCAGACTCAATACAGTTTGCTAGAATGTCTGGCGTATTTGCTATATTTTTTTCTATGAACTTTATATATAAGTATATAGTTATGTCATAGTCAAAGGCACTAAAATCTAAATCCATTTTCTTCCTAATATGACATCTGCTACTCACCAACCTGTTTTTAAAAATAAATGTCACTCCCAATTTGAGATCATCAGAAAGGCATCATCTCGTTACAAATGCATTGTTATGACTAATCTTGACAGAGCTGGATTGCCCTCGATTCCCAGCACGGAATGGGAGACAAAGCTATCCGGTAGCCTACTGGATTATGTCATGCCCTATCAATTAGACCACTCGATTCTGCAAACGCTGCCCTGTTAGCATCACCTCTCGTTGTACACGCAATTGCTTCTCCTCATCCAAAAAAGCATTTTGTATGTCAGCCTTGACGTTTTGGCTGTATGTGCTGAATCTGAAGACCATGTACAGAGCTACATGAAATCTGTACTGTGGGGGTGAGATGTTGCACATGTAAGAATGTTACGAAAATGCAATTCATTGTCTAGTGTAATACCTGAATCTGATATGTTTCATTCCCTGTCACACCTATTAATGCAAAAGCCATGAATGCCTTTTTGCCAAGCAAAGCATCCCTAACTGTAATCCTTAAACTCTTCCTTCCATCCACAGTCACAGAAAGTCTTGATTGATATAATTCAATGTTAACGACGTAGAAATTTAAAATTTCGTAAAAAACCCAAGGGCTATATATGCTGCAAAAAAATCTGCAGTGACTCAACAATAAAAAAAGTATGGGATCTTTGTAGTAATGCAGTTTTCCCTCCCGTTGCCACGATGAGCTTAACCAACAAGAAGCCTCAGCATGGCAACGGAAACTATCATCATAAAATGGTACAGTAATAGAGATAGCTAGACCAGGAAGGGGCAGGGTCTCCGGGGAAGAGGTCTGCAGAGAGGTCCAGTGACTGGTCATGCGGCTCAGTGTCAGGAATAATGGTTGTACGGCGGAAGGGGGTGCCCAATACCATTTTGGAAGTGGTGGTGCTGACGATGGGCAAGGTACTCTGTGTAGCTCATTGTCATCTTCTCACTACGGTACCTAGAAAAGAGCAAAGCAGCAAATTCAAGAACTGTGACCAGGAAGCTGTAAGTAGCACTAAAAATGCTGCACTACTGGTTGTGTTTAATAACAGCTCTGCACTTCTGAGGTTAGCAGTAGGACTAACTTCAGTTGCACAAGAGCAGGGAGGGAACTGCCATGGGGTTGTCAGGGTCACTCTTGAATCACATGACAAATCACAACATAAATGCTTATGGAAAACATTTTAAGCAAACAGAACTGTTAAAAATTGTTGCTCAAAGTAGAGGGAATAGAAACTCATGATGATTTATTGACAGTGTCCCATATCTTCAGCCAACTCTCTACGTAAAACCTAGGAGAAAAACTGTAAACAAGTACTACAGATTTTTGGGCTGTTTTAGAACCAGTATAAACAGTCTGGCCAAATTCTGCTTTGAAAATAATCCGTACACACTACATTACATGAGTTACATTCTTTTTAGGCTAGAATCATTGAATATCTCAAGTTGGACAGGACTCATAAAGATCATTAAGTCCAACTCCCTGCTCCTCACAGGACTACCTAAAACTAAACCATATGACTAAGAGTGTCGTCCAGACACTCCTTGAACTCTGACAGGCCTGGTGCCGTGACCACTTCCCTGGGGAAAGACGCTGTGAGAGACAGTATCAGAAGCTTTGCTAAAATAAAATAAAAAAACCCACATCTGCTGGCTTCCCTTTGTCAACTAGATGGGTGACTTTGGCATAAAAGGAAAATGAAATTAAGCTGGTTAAGCAGGACTTTCCCTTCGTGAACCTCTGCTGGCTATCACCAATGACTGCGTTGTCTCTCAAGTGTTTTCAAAAACTCCGAGAACAACCTTCTCCAGAATTTTACCTGGCACTGAAGTGAGACTGACAGGTCTGTCATTACCAGAGCCTTCCTTCTTACTCTTCTTGAAAAAACAGGACAACATTTGCCAGCTACCAGTTGACTGGAACCTCTCCAGACTCCCAAGACCATTAAAAAAATAACGGGGAGAGGTCCCACGATAACACCAGCCAGCTGTATGTAACTAAAAGCACAATCCAGGCCCTGACAACAAATATTTTGGATATACTGGCACCAGTATTGTTTGACAACAAGGAACATACTGCCACATTTGCACTTATCTGTAGAAGTGTAAAAATCTACACAAAACCACCACTATTCCACATTTCCACAAATTTCACTTAGAAAGACCTTGCATAAGAGATCTGACAGATGAGATTTGGTGACTGCAACTACAGTGATATAAAATATAGCCACCTCTCCTTTCTATCATGTTTGTCTTCTGGAGTTGCTCTGGTTGTTCTCTCCTCTTTTAGGTCTGAAAAAAACACAACAGATGGCCCAACCACTTGCACTCACAACCCAACACAAAAGTTTCAACTACTTTCGAGTTACTGCAGCAATTAGGGTGGCAAACACATTTGCTGCTGTGGCCTCTTTGCCAGAGGAACAGAGCAGAACACTTTACACGTGCAGCTTTTCGCTTCAGCAGACGTGTTTCGGGGCACCAAAGGTGCCCACGCTTACTTGATGCCACTGTTTGTTAACGACGTACCGATGTATCGAATGGCCGCTGGCCCTCGCTGAGGATCTTTGGGGTCCCTTCCAACCCTAAGCATTGATTCTGTGATTAGGTGCAGCGCTTCTTGAACTGACGTGAATGGTTTGTGGAGCAAGCTGGTCTGTGAATGAAATGCCCTGCCACTGTGAAACTCAACCATCAGCCTGGCAGTCAACGACGGCGGCTGTGAGCGGGTCAAAGCCGGCCAACAACAGCCCCACCAGAGTCACATCTGCTCACTTCAGCAGATGGAAGAGAAATGCACTTACTGCCCTTACGCATCTAGACCCCTAGAATGGGTGCACTTCTTTCAGCTCTGCTATTTTTTAGTTCTCTTCTTCAAAACATGGCCAGGACTACTGGGTATTAGCTTGAAGTGAAGATAGTTAGCAATAGACTAGTTTTGATCAGCTAGAAGCTTTATTCACATAGAGGGCATTAATGCAGAGACTTGAAAAAGAAGTTAAAAGCACTTATTCCACTCTTCCAATAGATGTTTTACTGTACAACAACAAGTCGGTAAACTAAGGCTCTAAAAAACATTGTCTGATGCTGGGAAATGTTACTATTTTAATACTACTGTTTATAATATGGCAGCAGAAGCTGAGTTTTTAAGCAAGTAAAATAGACAGCCAAGAAAAACAACCCCTTCTTCTGAACATTAAAAATTATGCTTTGTTTATTCCACTTACTTATTCCCAGTGATTTTGCTAGCAGTTTGGATGTTGTGAACTGAAATACACTAAACACAGAGGTTTTGGTGTTTTGTTTTTTTTTTTAAGAGAAATGGGTTTTTAGGGGTTTGTTTGGTTTGTCTTGTTCTGTGCTCACATGCCATTGCTCCAAACAAAATCATGTAGCTGGAAGAAAATGTGTGCTATATAGAATTCTTGTATCTTGGAAAAATAGATTCCCTATTTATTGAGGTGTACAGAAATTGTCATTTAAGAACTATAGCACTGTTACTCTTGCCCTCAGCTATCTCCATATATTCTTTTTGAACAGAAGGTAACATGGTGTACAGCTGAAATAAATTAAAAGGAGACTGGGGTTCTGCATTTGGAAATTTAGCTGGATTCTGTGAATCAATCCTTCTTCCCTAATTTAACCTTCAGAATAGCATCTTTTCCTTAGTCACAGCTACTCCGCAGTAATCAGGTTCCTACAAGAATCCAGAATTCTGAACAGTCATTGGGACACAAAATCTTTATTCTTCATCTACAAGATCAGTGAACAAGTAATTCCTCTAAAATATTTATTTTTGTAAGAAATGCTCTGCCTTCTATCTGGTCTGAACAAAAACTACTGCTAAGTAATAGCAAGATTTGTAGATGAAGATGACAAACGTGGAAGCTGAAAAGAACAAAAATCTCAGGTCTTTGTCCTACAAAAGTGCATAAACAATCAGGAGAATCCCTGTATTTTCAAATGCCTGAAATGAAAGGATTGGGTTTTAATTGTAGACAAGGAAGTCAAGTCTGGCTTACACCTAGCTGCACTGAGAAGGGAAAGAATTTCCAAAGAAGTCAGGACACACAAACAAGAGTAACATATACAACATTTTTAGAAGTAATCTTGTGACCATATGAGTCCCTAAAAGTTGCTAAAAGGTAGGAAGGATAACAGTTTTGGACAAAGGATTCAGACTTTGTTACTTGTATTAATAAATACAACTGAGAGGCCTCCATGACTTCATAGCAACAGATCCATAGTGCTCAGATCCATCTGCTCAAATACCAATGGACAATGGCAAGTAATCCTTGTTAACAACACCCGTTATAGTCAATGAGCAACCTGTAACGAGCAAGAGCTCATACACTGCTAAGATTTTTCAGAGTTCTGAAACAAAATATGCAGGTACCCCAATATATAGGTAGTCTGATACTAACAACAGCCTTTTCTTTCTTGTTTAACGCCACTAATCCCTACGCAAGGCACAAATACTCTCAAAAGTCCGTGCTGCCACTGTGAAAAGAAAGAAATCATTAATAATAATACATCCAGGAAAGCTCACTATTACCATCCGAAATAAGCACTTACCAGGAATGAATATGCCACCCTATCACAAAAACAGGACTTTGCTGTAGAATCTCATGATGCGTACCTGGTTAGCTTTATTGTTTTCCTGAATTCATTAGTAATTGGAGCTTTGTAGCCTCCTTTCCTCAATAAGGAATCTATGGTTTGAATGTGGTCCCATCCTGTTGAATTTTACAGTAATAAAAAATAGTGAGACATATGGCAGTGAGGATAGACGTTGCAAAAACACAGTGCAGTATGTCACGTTATTGATAATGAAAATGCTCTGCTGAAGTTCTGTATAAAACACGGAACCTTCTTCCCTACTTAAGGACAGCTGAAGGAAATACGACGTACAAGATTTCTTTACACACAAAGTCTCTCTACAAACAACATGTTTTTATCACGTAGTTGAAATATTTTAAAAGTGGACCCACTATATGCAGGTGTCCTGGATTGGGGGCGAGATACAAAATTAAAACTTTTCTGAAATGTTCAGGTTTGATCATGTATCACAATCACTTTATAAATTATAAATGGCTATGACTATGAAAAACGAAATTTCTACAGAAAATGAAATTTAAAATAATTATTAGTTGAACACGTGCAGAGAACTGCAGAGATTAGACTTCTCCATAAACATCAGTGAACTTTACAGTGATATTTCTAATTGCATAACTACTACATTATATTATAGATGGCTGGGTCATAAAAAAGCGATGGATTACCAATATAGATTCATTATAGTTCTCAATAAAATCATATATTTATTGATTTAAAAAAGCCTAATATTTTAACTAGCTGTTAGACATGTTATTTCTAAAAGATGCAATTAGATTAGTCACATTGTTACTTTTTTTTAAGGAAAAAAAGGGTAGTTTTCGGTACATGAAATATACAAATGGGTAGTTTTGGGTACTTTAAAGAGTCAGGTTGCAATGCATGGTCTACTAAAACTATTTAGAAATTTAAACACACAACTCCACTCCACCCCGCAAATCCTGAATTTAAAAAAAACTTGTGTAAGTGATCACCAAAGGTCTTGACAAAAAAACACTTCTCTAACTAGCCAACCTTAGATTAAAAAGCAAAAAAATCGTCTTGGGAAGCATCTAAACTTTTAAGTGACTATGTGGAAACAGAATTATCAATTAAAAATAATCCTCAGTAAAGATTTCATCCTATTCCTTTAGTAGATCCACTCAAATATAAAAAGAAAAAAAAAACAACAAACAAAAAGCAGCAATGCAAAATGTAAAAGATTGAGAAACACTGTTGAGCTTAGAAGAAAAAAACCATAGTGAGTAGTCATAGACAGCTGCTTAGTCAAAAAGATTACAAAATCTCCTATAGGTTCTTTAATTCAGAAATTTAAGTCTGTGCCTCTATTAAAAGGGACTTTACCAATATTATTTTGGACTTTCATATTGAAAGTAATTTCTTTCCATCCATCAAAAAATCCAGGAAGCCAATGTTTATAAAACATTTATAAAACATTTATAAAACTAGCAGAAAGTACCTAATTAAAACACTGGATCATTGCAAATTTAGGAATAAATCAGCTGTTAAGAGAATTGACCAGGCATCCTATCACTTGGGAAGAGGTTTTGCATGTCACTAACATGACAGCAGAACACCTGCACGAAACTCGGCTGCTTTTAACCACTGCAAACCCCTCCACATTTCATTTTCCTACAGCTACACTGCATTTATGACTTCTTTAAAAAACATTTGCAGTTTACTGTATCCCTATAAGGGGACTGATACAGGCATATAATTGGCATTTTATATAAGAGTCTTCTTACAATTAAATATCGCTCCATCATCTGACATCAGTGCAAGGTCAAATATTGCATTTTAGATTTATATGTATGTTTAAATTCTTCACCAGATCATATGAAATAAAGTGCAACAATGACCTTGCTCCTTTGCAACCTCCGGTAAGTAGGTGGCGGTGCGTTTTGATCCTTTTTCATTGATGAATTCTATTCTAATGCCATGTACACCCACCTGCAAGAAATCAGCAGCTTTATTAGTCTGTTAAAAGAAACAAGAGATTTCTAATATGATAGAACCAAAATGTGAACCTTTCAGTGGTTAATACCATTTTGCGAAGGGTTTCAGGAGGTGGTACTGAAGGGAATGCAATCTTTTTGGAAGGTGCCTTGTGAGGTCAGTATCAGCACAAGTGTGGTCCTCAGCTCCCCACTGAAGGAAAGCCAGCTAAGACACAAAAGCCACGCTGTTTCTGAGCCTACTGCAGTCTCCCTTTGACACGATCGGCGATGATGTTGCTGATAAAATCGCCTGGTCACCAGATAGAACCTGCAGGCGACTAAACAGCTGGCAAATCTAACGATGCTTCAAACAAGAGCATTAATTTTGTTCAAAGTAACAACTGAACAATGCAAGACTTGTCACACTACGAACTCCAGCCTGGAGATTCAAAATTTCTCTGAGTGTATGATCAGGCAAAGGAGATACTCTGATTCAGCTTCAGACTCCTATTTCCATGCTACTAATTACTCTAATAAGACAGAACATGGAAACCAAAATTAGAAATACCAAGGAGTTAGACATATATAAAGTTGAACTGCCAAAAAAACCCCACCAAACCAAGAAAAGGGGCTCAGTACCTTTCCAAGGCATTGTTTAAACGGCTCTGTTTCCAAGGTACAATAATTCTGTTGACGTACTGTTGCCAGTAAGCTTTGGGTTGGTTTTGAGTTCTGTGCGTAAACACAAAGCTTTAGCAGATGGATGTTTTTATTTTCATGCCCACATAACTAAGATGTTATTTCCATATACATCAAAAGTTTCCCTATGTGGAAATGAATAGGTTACGTTTAGAGGGTATCACATTATTTGGTACGGCACTTCTTCTTGGACACAAAATTAACTGAAAAATGATGTAACAGTTTTTCCAGTTACAACCTATTTTACTGGAACTGCATGACAGGCAAAAAACAAATAAGGAATATTTACAAAGCTCTACTACTTGTTCAATTAACGTATTTGCTTATATTAAGACTTCAGTTTTTAATCTTCATAATCTTCACATACGATATAAGCACGGGGAAATGGGAGGAAGAGTCTCTCTTGTGGCTGGCCATGGCCTCAACAATTTTTCCCCATGAACCTAACATTTCTTAAATGGGAAAAATTACTTTGAGACTAACGAATTTAATTCACTGCAGATTTTAATGCGATATTTCATTACCAACACTCCTAAATCTAGCTTTCATAGCATGGATATCTAATCACCAAAGAGATCAAATCTGTGTACTCAGATGATGTAATTATGAACCCAAAGGACTTGAAAGTAAAGTGAAACAGTGTTAGAAGCTGAAATGAGCCTACTGAGTTTATTCCAAGAACAGAGTAAGTTTTTGCAGCTGGTGATTTTGGAACTGTCTATATTTGATTGCTGAAGCACTGAGATCAGATACATTCAGGTTTTGCACACCTTCAAATCCTGCAGAATATTAGATTCTGAATTTTACACTACTGTTTAGCAAAACAGTGATTGTGTAGTATGAGAAACTAACTCGTGATGTATTAAATACGATGCAACATTCAAGCAGTAGGTAATTGCACGGCACCGGATGCTGCCCATTAACCACTTTAATGGACTTTTAGGCCCACGTCTGTAGAAGAAGAAGATGCAGAGCAAAATGAACAAGCAACAACACAATGGCACCCACAATTCCTCTGGTTGGGAAAATTTCATAGTGTTCTGTGAAGCATGAATTCCAACTGCGTAGCTAAGCAGTACTCTTAGTCCAGTACGAATGGCTTTGCATTGTTTAGCTCCAGTTAAACGAAAACAGGCCTGAGTTAAACAAATGGAAACCACACACAAGCAAAATAAGAATGATCCACGCTAAGATTGGCATGGGCACAGTTAGGAATTTATTTTGACTTCCTCAAGAGACCATGTTCCTGCATTGATGAAAACTTCTGTGAAATTTCCCCAAATATTTCTCTCTAAATGGGAGGTAAGGGGGAGGTACACGTTTGGAAGGCATTAACTGGACTGTGACTGGCTTTGCCTACCAGGCCCAGCACAGAACTGCAGGGGAAGCCTATGGCATGTTCCTCAACCTAAAAATGCTGACACACTACAGGCAAGTTTTTGTAGAACAACATCTGTGCAGTTCCGAAAAACAAACCAAACTATCTTCTTTTGCAGATGGAGTTTAAGTTCTGTCTCGTCTAGTACCATTTATTAGGGAAATGACGGCATACAGGTACCCTGAGCTGCAAAAAGACCACACAGCTGCCCTGTCAGCCTCCCAAACACACAGAGTCTACTTAGACTGTCGCTATCCGGAGAGAAAAGTGAGATAAGGAGAGAGACTTGGAAAGGCAACAAACCAACTGCCTCCAATAAAAATATTTCTGTAGGGTTTTAGACCATGGAATACTGTATACTTGTGGATATAATCTTTTTGGCCCACTGGGTAAGTGGCCAGAGGCCACCTAAAACTAGATCCAGAAAACCCAGACTTTTCACTAAATCTAAGGATTTAATTAAATTACATTTTTTTATTTTACTTCTGAAATGACCTCAACAGAACTTCGGACTTTGTTGTGTATTTATACACATTCATATTCATTTACACACATTCTTTTTTTAATGAGTCACTTATTTACATGCACCTCAGGATGGGGGAAAACGTGCACACGCCATATTTATTGTTTTGCCAAGCGCTTCTGGCACTTGCTAAATTAATGCCCATAGTGTGTCTCTATGTCTACCTCAGTTGGGCTAAGAAAAAATTGTTCCAAAACCCACCCTGACACTGAAGTTCAAGCAACTCTCATGTTCAGCTGTTCTGACTCAAAGTTCCAAATACAGTTTACAAATCTGTTCTTCTTGTACTGACTGTCAACCATCCTGAGAGGAAGAAATAACGTTATTCTCGTTAAGACTATCAACATGGAATTTGGACAAGCATCTAAAACATTAAGCTTTGTTGAAATTTAAGCTTTGAGTCCACTGTGGAGTAAATTCTCATCAAATAATCGTTCTGCAGAAAATAAAGAATCTGTTACAAAGAACTCACACAGAATACCCCAGAGCTGGAGCAGTGCAACACCTCCTTGGTGTGAGAAGCCTGTTCCTTAAGTTCACTCCCTATCTGCTGTTGTCCTCCACTCAAGACTGGAAACGCAGCTGGATGCACAGCCCCTGCTGCCAGCACGCCAGCGGAACTGCCACAAACTGCTTGCCCACCTCTTGGTGCTACCAGTACTGGCACCCGCACAACCACGTGATGAACCGATCAGGCTGTTGGGGTGATGCCTCATCCTTCTACTGACATGTTGATATCACATAACTAGTCACTTTCCCCTTTATCTACCCAACCAGTACTATGGAAACAGCAGCATACAAACTCGTCTGGAAATGGAATGCTTCAGGTTAAGCAATTATTGCTACTTATTAGAAGGTGATCCCACTTTTTATTAGCTGAATTCTACAGCTTTTTAGCCTCACAGTTGCAGCAAACGTGCTGGCTTCTTTCTGATCATCTTTAGTAGGGCTTAAATATTACATTCTGATTTAACAATGGAGGCAAAAGACTACTCAGGAGACATGCTCTCTACTTTATGATGAACATTCTTTTTTTAATGACTCCTTTACTCACTTACATAGAATCACTGAATATCGTCCAAAGAGAATAAAATATCGAGATCAAGACTCTTTCTTCTCTGTTCTAAGGAACATAAGCTGCAAAAGTTGCTGGTGCTGCTGCACTTGCAGGAGGGAAAGAATTTCCACAACTCTTGAACGTACTGACTTTGTCAACAACGAAAAGCCACCTCGCAGCCAACATTATCAGCTACAACTACTGAAGCTAATATTTAAACCAGTACGTGCAGGCTAACGGCCCTTTGTATCAACACAGCAAGCACGAACGATTCTGCAGGTTTTACTTTCCTGAAGAACACCAACTTCAGGGCAGAGACCGGTTTCAAGGTATTTTAAGGAAGAGCCGCTGGCCAATTCTAGTTATTCATTCCCCTGTTAGAATTACAATAATGTGTTCCAAAAAGTTTCTTATTATAATTACATACGATCATAATGTTTTAATAAAAAAGTAGGGATAAGGTCTGAATTAGCAAGACAGGCTTTTACCTTCTAGCAAAAAACTCCACAGATTCTTAATTAAATTAATGAGAAAATAAATTAAAAAGGTTTTCATTTGCTACAACATGAAATAGAAAGGGAACAGGCATTCTTTTCTGTATTTCTACGAAAAAAAAGCATGCAGGGGATGCATTAAATCATTTGCCATTGTAACATACCTTGCAGCCACACCCTCCCAAGCAGGCAGAGCCTGTAGCACCAAAGCTGGAATTGCAAGACCTACAACTTGATCACACTTTCTATAGGCCATTTCTGGGATCTGAACCCACTCACAGGACCTTCGGAGTGTAGGCTTATTTACCCAAATTGCACTTACAAGCTACGCAGACCAAACAGAAGTTCTTTCTGAAGGACCCAAAGCCATGATACTTTACAGCAAGCTATTCAAATTCTTCTGCATTCCTTCTTTTGGGGTGCTGCTAACTACACACACAGTTCCCAGTGCAACATGAGATGCAAGTTATCTGCATTAAGAATCGACAGCAAAATTGGAGGCATCCTGAGGCAGGAATTCAAATTTGTGCAGGAAAAAAGACTAGGCAGAAGGACAGATCAAAAAGATGAGCTCAAGGACAATGGAAATATGGATAAAGCTGAGTTTATGTTGGGAAGGAATGACTGCTATCAATATCAGATGTGTTTAAAAATAATCGGTCTTTATAACTTGTCTCCTGAGTAGTCCTTTGTTATCTGATCTTTAATAAAAGAGCAGTACTATCAAAAAGAGAGACAGAAGAGTTTCTCGCACTGCCCATTTCTTTGAGATGGAAAGGTGCAAAACTCCACCCCAGCAGCAACTGGACCACAGCAACTTCTCATGGGTTGTGTCTAGCAGAAGTGATGAAGCAGTTCATGCACTCCCAGTGCTCATTACTACTGAAGTGCACTGCAACTCATGTAAAGTCGCATGTAAATCAAAATGCTAAATTATATTTTAGGAAGCATCCTCATGAACCATGGCATTGAAGTGATCCTTTACAGGTCTGTACTTTCTCCTAGTTACTTTTATAAAAGGTGAAAATGGCAGCAATTAGAAAAATCCTATGGGAGGATTAATAAAATAGCAGTTCACTCATGTCTCCTGTTTACTTAGTTTGAAATTTCTGCATTTTACAACTGAAATATTGATTTACTTAGTTTGGGAAGATAATTCATTAATCAGAGAAAAGAAGATCTATCACTCTGCTTTAGGACACAGGAGACAATCCTGAGCCGTGCGTTCAAACGATCTTGTCTTGAAGCCACCGGAGCACTGTGAGTTGTCTGAATCGGCGATTCTGAAATATTGTGGCCTCTGTCAGCAAATTGCTGAATTGGCTCCCCCAAGATCCTCAGTAGCCTCCTAACCAGGCTGATGTTCTGCAGGATGATCTGCAAATCAGCATTATGAGATGAAAGATGCAGAATCTCTCTTTACATCCTACTCTAGACATCCTGAAATGTCGCTCTGCCGTTAATATTGCATAACTGCAGCTCCCTTAAAAGAAACATGGATGACATAAACCACCTCAGTGACAGGCACAAACAGCGATGAATCGTCCTTGTCAGGCCTAACGATTACAAATTTTACCTTTCTCATATTTATACACACACATCCTGCCCCTTTTGCATGGAAAGCTTGTGGATCATCCACGACTACATATGATACAATCACTTGAGATGCACGTTTAACTTATAGGAAAAAAGACAAAAAATACCCCAAATCATGGAATCAACTTTGTGACCATTTGTTAGAATTCCTAGGAATTTGCTAGAGGTTTTAAAAACCCTATCATTAAAAAACCTTAAATTAAATAGGATAGGGATAGGAGAGAAAATAGGAGAGAGCAACTCAGCAAATAAATAACACGAGGACCAAGATATTTTTGACCCCTCCATTCTTCCCTCCTAAGTCACAGCTTTCCAATAAGAAGACGTTAAGAATCCATAAAATTAATTAGAACAAGATTTAGAAAGGACAGAGAAAGCAAAAGCCTCCTCTGCTTCATACCAGCGTTAAGGTTATGAATCAAGTCTCCCAAAGAGCAAAGTTAAAACCAGGCTTTCCAAGGGACGGTGGATTTTTGAACCCAGGCTTTGGTTTCATCTTGTCTTTAAGGATGAATATTTTGGTCATCTCAGAAGTTTATTATTGAGAGAATAAACCGACATCTAATTATGTTTAAAGACTACCACATGGGAAGAGCTAAATGCTATTTCATTATGCACTTCACACTTTTAAAGAAACATTGTCTGGGTATATTCATAGTCTGATTTTTAATAAATTATAAGATTTTTTTTTGTCTGAAATTACATTAAAAAGTGAATAATTCTGATGATGATGGTGAAAATGCTGATAAATCCCAAAGGCAACTTACATTCATCTCATTCAGAATTACGTATCAGAAGGTAATAAGCCCTTGTCATTATGAGTTGAGCAGGAAACACATTTTTATTAGATTTTCAGCTACTGTAAAATTCATAATGCTGAGGTTACTGCTGGATACCACCATTCTGATGCAGCAGGGCCTCTTACCATTTTAACAATGAATGTAATTTCTATTCAATATACGTTTGTTATGTATGAAGACAACAGAAAGCCTCTTCTTCTCTTTAGAAATATTTAGTAGGCCTAAGTCATTATTTAAGGGAAACTCTGTAACTTGTGTGCTGTCTCTGACATTAGAACGTTTGCTATCATATATGACAATTTCCATTTTTTTTCTACGTCCACTCAAATATAGACTCAAAGAGCAACACAGCAGGCATACTGACTGAGATGAGTTCATCTTAAGTCCAGTAACTTGTTTTTTGCAAGCATCTAGTACCAAATAATTCAGGAAAAATAATACAGAATAACACTTCCTTCAGTACACCTTCCCAGAAATAACTCTAAAAGCAGCATTTTCTGCTTAATCTGTTTTATGCTGCTGTTCCGAGGTAATGCACGCAGGTTTCCTAGAACTTAACAATTAAAATAGACTCAGCTCCATGCATAAGTAGCAAAGAAAAACAAGAGCAATGATTTACTTGGCCTCATTGTACAAGGGCTTTTGTGGGGTCTGCGCAGCCCACTTACTCTGAAAGCAAAGAAAGTTTTGGGAAAGATAAACGGCTCACTCCTACAAACTAAATAAGGCAGCTTTTTTGGGGATTGCAATTTTTTGCAGTGCTTGTTTCCAGAAGCATACAGCAAACTATTAACTTTCATACTGGAACATCCTCTTTCCAGGATCACTGACTGACCCACCACGTTTCTGTAGCTGGCTACGCTGCAAAAGAGGTCTGAGACACCCTCACTCAGCAATACCTTGCTTGATGGAGTCTTGGACATAAATACAGCTGTGCAGACGATTACTTTGTGTGCCTAAGTGGGCAAGAATGCAACTTTATTCCATTTTCATGGCTCAGACTTTTAAGGTGATGACAGTTCTACCAAAAGGATCTTTGGAATCTACGCGCAAACGTGTACAGAGTGCAAAACAGTGACAACTACACTGAATATATGCAAATAATTTGAACGGTGTGATTTCTGCTATCGATGTTCATGGTATCAAAGTAACTTTCTTAAAAGATATCTGACATCCTTACCTCCCAGTCCATGTAGTCACATACATCTTCAAAGTTAGTGAGTAGAGACACTGAGCAGAAAAGCCGTGGCAGCTCATCCCTCGTCATGGGGGGGAAACGACTATCTTTAAGGGCACTGTTGAAGACAAAACAGAATTTCAAAGGATTTGTTTGTTTGTTTAAGTTCAAGGATCTAATGAATCAACTGAAAAGTATAAAGGACAAAAAAAATCCTTATGAAACGATGACCAGTTTGATAATCCAGTTGCCAGTGTAACACACTGACCAACATTCCCCACTTTTTCCTTAGACATTTGTTTCGGTTCTTGGCTGGCCAGTCAGGTGGTGTTCTGAGGGTCATTCCTTCCTGAGCTGATTTTGCTACTGTGACAAGCTTATTAATGAAGCAGCAGAAAGTTTTCAGAAGTTACAAAAGCAATAGCTCTTCTACTTGCAGTTTAGTAAATCCCTTTCAAAAGGATTAAACTATTCAACATCAAGTAAAGGGGGAAATTCTATAGCCTGCAATAATCAAACACGTAATACAGTCATCAAACTGTAGAACTTAATTATTCAGTGAAAAAAAAAATCGAAACAAGCAGAATATTCTCAAAAAAAGAGCAATATTCATGCTTACTGGAAAAGGTGAATATAAAAAGGTAAAAACATCCAAGAGCAGAGGAACCCTCTGTGCACCTTCCAGCACACTTTGAAAAACAAAGCGGTCAACAGACAGCGAGCAGTACCACGAGTGAGAACATCCGTAAAAACCTACTTGCTAAGTTTGGTTAAGAACCAGTTAAATTGGAAAAGGGAAGGTTAAAGTGAGTATGGTATCTCGTAAATTTTTATTCTTTTAAGATTTGAAATATGACACGTATGAATACAAACATGCTTATCTCCAACAAAACCAGCAATCTGCTCACTGAGCTTTTTGATGAGTAAAGAGAACTTCAGATTAAGAGACTTTGGGAAGTACTACCTAGTTCTTCACGTGTCTCATTGTCTCACCTAACAATTAGCTCATTCCGATTTGTTCTACTTGGCATACAGCCAGCGGTTGCCATTAGTGATGTAATTACGGCCATGGCCTTGGTCTTTAGAATATGGCTGACGTCTCAGCATCAGATACCACCGTTTCAGATAAAGAGTAGGATAACTTTATTAAAGCAGATCAAATAAGGATGCATAAGCAAAAAGAAGGAAAGTTTAGCTACAGGAAACTGTCATATGTATAACCAGAAATAGTTTCCTATCATTAATTAATACGATACACTGAAGAGATAAAACAGAACCTTTATTTTTCTGGGGCATGGGGAAGGCAGGCTTTTTTCCCCAGATATGCTACAATTCCAAGAAAGAACATAGTATTGGAATTAATTATTGGAAGAACTAGAAGCTCTTCTCCAAGCTTTGGTATTCCTACTTACAAAACAGGTCAGAAATTTAGATTTTCATTATGAAGACAAATCCATTATATAATTCAGTAACAGTTAGCGGACCTGCACTACCCTTTGTTTAGGAGTAATTCTAGGCAGCCCCAGGTAAAGTTGCCACGGATGTGAGAGAAGATGTTGGCACAGTAAGTAACTAGCCAAGATAAATCTTCTGACATTTCTGTAGGTTAGACAGGCCCACATAGGCCTGTAAAGAACTGGGAACACTAAGGAGATTTAAAGCGTAATGCCTGTGATATTTAACTAACGGCTTTTACTGAAGATGGATCAAAAGATGGCATTCTCCAAGATTTTCTTGTTGGGATTCACAAAGCTAGCTTTGTAACTGCTGGGCACCAGGCAAAGTTTACCATCCTCCTGGTGCTTCGGAGCAACATCAGAGATCAACTCCCATAGCCACCAGGTAATAGCAACATATGAAAATACTTATGAAAATACAGCCTTCATACCCCTCCATGTAGGGAAGAAAATAATATAGGTCTGGAAAGGGAGAATACTTTAAACACAGGGACAGCTCAGACCAGAAGTCCATCTAGCCCAGCATTAATAACCAACAGCAGCTAGCAAAATGAATGAATACACAAAACAGTAAATATCCAGGGGTACATTCCTAGAATACTCTCCAGGAATCCAGCTGCTTATAGCTTTGGTATTTTGAGCCAGAGATGATATCTCTGCGCTTAAAAGCTCTTCTCAGGTTTATTTAATAAGCACATGCACACATGCCTTAGTATTTCACCCCACCTTTTACTAAAAACTGAAAAATTATGTTCAGAAACCCCAATCCTCTTAAAATCGACAGCTACTACAAGTTTGCCTATATGCAAATTCCTCATTTCCCTGAGGTATGTTGCACCTCTATCACGTAACCGATCTATTTGAATACCCTGCTGGAAAGCACCCAGAGAGACAAGCATTATTTCATTAACAAACATCAAATTCAGTCATCTTAGGAAACAACTGTATGCATGGATATTGTCAATACTTTTTTAAACCTGTTTTTCGTAATTTATGCAGCAAAACATTTCCCATATTGTGACAATTTACAACCTTCAAAAACCTTTTTTTTTAATTATTATTTTTGCACAACTTGATACTAGGAGTTTAACTTTCAATTCCCCTTCCTAAAGCTGCCAAAACGCACTTGTGAATTTCAGCTTTTTGAAGCGAAAGTTGTAAGATTGTCTACTATGGGTGTAAGATTGTCTACTACGGGTGTAAGCCTGATCAATAATGTTGGCCGTAAAAGTCTCCGGCAAATTCCCACTCACTGCAGATCTGCTGCACTGGCATTACTAGACAAGAAACCATCCTTAATTTAACATACTTTAAGTCGTACAGAAACAAACATGCAACGCACATGTAAGCCACGTCTCAGCGAGCCTGCTCAAATGCTGAGATAACAATTTGAAACAAGATGGGTGAATCGTGACGAGTTTGACTCTTGATAAGAAGCTGAGATAGGAACCGTTCACATGGGCACAGTGGAAGCAGAAAGGCACACAAAGGCACGAAGGCCTCAGGCATCTACAGCAAACGAAGTGCTTCCATTTTAGTGAAAGCACAGCAATGCAGTAACCGTTGCACACATAAGCCAAGCTGATTCCTTTATTCAATAATTCAAAAATGGCACAAGTACCTTGCTTTCCCATAACCACCTCAGGATAACTAAAATATTGTTTATCAAATGACAGCGCCATTTCAACTGTGCTTATTTCCATTTCCTTCAGGACTGCCAGGTCCTATTTGATCTGTAGAGCCTGCTGAAAAATTGCTCAACATCTCCATGACCCTACACATCTGTGCTCATGCTCTGTGTTACCCTCTTGCTGCTGAAGACAAGTGAGACATCCGGCAGAAGAAGATCAGAGATTTGCATAACAGTCTCTGACACCACTGTGACTGGCAATACAGAGTACTTCTGCTCTTCTATTCCTCCCTTCCCCGTCTCCAGACTCCGTATTACAATTTGTTTTCAGCTTTCGAAACAGCTTTGTCTCTGCTGTTACATAAGTAAAACCCAAATTTACCTGGAGAAATTTGCGTTGACAAAAAATCAGTAATTGGATCAAAACACACTGAAGGGAGATGCCAACAAGAAAGCATTTATTTGTACTGGTCAGTTACACATAAAATATTCTGTCTGCTAAAGCTCAATGTCTGAAGCTAAAATAGTCCAGCAATTATACTGGGTGCCAGTTTAAAGCTCAATAACCTTGCCCTAACGAGTCTGATCTACCTGCATCATATACGACTTTTTAAAACTAGGAAACGTTTACCTTGAAGAGCTGTACGTTACACTTCGAGTATCAGTCGGCTTCTCAGTCATTCCTTCATTACTGCCACGGTTGGGACTCTAAAGGAAGTTATAGATACCTTTGGAAAACCTAAGAGCACACCAGCTTTGGATCTTCTCTTCACAGATAAACTGGTTTCATTTTTGCATGTTTTAATGCTTGGTTAGCAGGAGATGGATGTCATTAGAGATGCTTCCCTTCAGAATCCTGCCACTATCCTTAAGCCTAAACTTTATCCCTGTGGGTAGTGAATAAATCCCCATCTACTGACTGTTCTGATGATGCCAGTAAAACCAGCGGATGGTATCCAGTCAAGGTCCTCACGGGCTGCTCTCCACAGCGTACAAAACCTAAGCCTCAGCAGACAACAGAATGGCGTCACCCTCGGAAATGTCAGCAGACCTCAACGCTTTCCAAGGATAAAAAAGCTTGATTGGGCTCTTACGTTTGTTGTTCCTTTCTGGGAAGAAAGAGTATCAGTTTCCAGAGGCAGCAGTTTGGCTCTTACACACTTCATACAAAGATGTAGGGATGTAAATTCAGACTTTCGCCTCGCCTGTCGCATCAGCGCGCCTCTTGGTAACCAGTTCAGAGCAAACAGGACACACAGACAAGGTAACGTGTGCTCGTTTTCCTCAAAAGCTTGTTACTGGTCGGAGCTGCTCGAATGAAAAGTCACTGTGTAATTGTGCGTCAGCGTTCCTGATGAGTAGAGCGGACTTTGTTCTGTTTATTTGATGGAACTGTTATTTTTCGTAGTATTTAGAATGTGATTTTGCAATCTTATTCAATGCCAGGTTCTTCTGTTAATTCTTCCGTTAGACAGACAAAAGGATTCTTACGGAACAACATCTGGCATATTAGATACCAGGTTTAAAAAATATTAACTCCCCAAGTTTTCTGTTGTAATTAGGAAGGTAAGTAGGAATAGTTAGTAAAGTAAGTTGGAAAAATTAGGCAGAGTTCAAAACTGCTTTTAAAGAAAAAAATACTGATTTTAAAAGCATTTTCTAAACCATCTGCTCTTTCTTCCTTAATGCCCAGAACTAATTTACATATATTGCTGCTGACTAAATGGAAGCACATGGTAGTGAAGAGTTGACAAGAAACAGTGCCAAGCACGGGGAATTCTAGCTGGCCAATAAAAGGACATTAGTGTTTCCACATGGAGTTCTGCTCCATGTTAAAAGTGAAGCAGGCAAAATCAAAGCTGAATCCTGTTCCAAGAAATCTATTTTTAGACACAAAATGCATGCACATGCACGCACAGCTTTTCTAGTTAAATATACTTCATTTATGCAGTCCTGGGTGTCCTACTAAGATCAAGTAATTGCCAGTCAAGAAAACAAAACAAAACAAAGTGTTACTTAACTCTCAGTTTT